TTGAAGACCTCAGCTTCCAGCTTGAAGACCTCAGCCTCCAGACTGAAGACCTGGGCCGCCAGATTGAAGACCTGAGCCTCCTGATAGAAGACCTGGGCTCATACATTGAAGACCTCGGCCTACAGATTCAAGACCTGGGCCACCAGACTGAAGACCTCGGCCTCCAGATTGAAGACCTAGACTTCCACACTGAAGACCTCAGCCTCCAATTTGAAGACTGGGACCTCCAACTTGAAGACCTGGGCCTCCAGATTGAAGAACTTGGACTCCAGCTTGAAGACCTCTGCTCCAGAGACCTTTGCTCTCCTTAGCAGAGCTCACTATTCAAGAAGGTTCTGAAAACAAGGAATGGTCTTGATGACATCTCCTCTCCCCTAATGCCTCCCCGCCTCCCCAGTTGTGTTTTTGCTTTGTTTTCATTCAAGTGAAAAGAAAGTTAGCAGATTTCCCCATAAGGGTTGAGAAAAGAGTCCTCCACTTGATTGCTGTTAAAAAAAATGTTAAGGTCTTTCCACTCCCAAATCCTCTTCTGATGAGGACCTGCCCACGCGGCCTCCTCCTGGCACTGACCACAGGCCGTGGCCTCCCCAAGGCCCTGGGCCCTGTCCAGTGCCCACTAGTGAGCTGTCCTTCCAGCCGGGTGGCCACTGGCTTGTTGAGCCGATGACTGTTGTCCTTATTTGGAATTGGTAAGCACATCAAAGGAATGCCATTTAAATAACAACAGAAGTATTTTGTAATAAATAACTGCACACAAACACCAATTATCACGTTGTGAGGGTGCCCCACTGGGTTTGGGCATGTTAACCACTCCCGAGGAGGACAGCTGCCATCAGTTAAATGCACAAAGTCACTTGGTTGAGAACTGGGTGGAGCCTCTGTCCACATGCCGTGGGCTCGATGGCCCAGTGGCTTTCAGAGTCTCACAGACCATCTTCCAGCTGTTCTTCTCTGTGGAGAAGACTTTTACTAGCAAAGCCAGACTCTTCTCCTGCCTCCCACCCTGCTCCCCAGTCTGGGAGCGAGAAGTTCCCTTACTCGTGTCATCACACGCAGGGAAGGAACCATGAGGACAGGATGAGCATCCCTTGTCTCTTCCCTGGGCTACAGCTGGAGCTGGGGGTGCCAGTCTTCTGGCCCTCCTATGCCAAATGGGTTGTTTTCCTCCTGGGATTGTCATCCCCTCCCTTTACCATTCTCTGTCCCTCTTCCCTCTGCCTCTCATTTTGCAGCTGGTGTTTCATTCCCAAGCCCATCGAAGGCCTCGTGAGATTGTGAGGTCTTCCTAGTCCCAAAGAAAGAAATAGACATTCCCCCTGCCCTGGGGGCCACCTGTGTGTGGACTGTGCCAAAACCCGAGCCCTAAACCTGTTGTCACATCAATTCCAACACGTGGCAGCCCCATATGGAACAAGGAATTGCCTCACAGGATTTCCCTGCTGTGATCTGTATGGAAGCAGATCTCTAAGCCATGGAATCACTGGACGAGTTTGAATCTCTGCTTAGCAGCCAGTTGTCAGCCATTGGTCCAAGACTGGGCTTTACCTTCCCAGTTACTCTGAAGGGTGGGAAGACTGCTTTTGTTGTTGTTTTTGTCATGTGTCATTGAGTGTCCTGTGACTCATAGCGATCCTATGTACAATAGCTCTGAAGCCTGCCCTGTCCTGAGCCAGTCTCACTGACTCTGACACACCTACCCATTACCCTAGTTACTGTGTCAATCCATCTCATCTGGGGTCTTCCTCTCCTGCGCTGTCCCTTGACCCTTCCAAGTATGATGTCCTTCTCCAAGGAGCGATCCCTCCTGGCCACGTACCCAAAGTATGGAAACGGAGCTTCAAAATGCTAGCCTCCAAAGAGAGACTTGGTTTCACCCTCTCCAAGACAGACCTGTTTGTTTTCTCAGCGTTCCACGGTATGTTCAAGACTCTTCTCCAGCACCACAACTCAGAGGCATCAGTTCTTCAGTTTATTAAATTGCTAGAAGGAGAAACTCTAGCTCAGGCCTGTGTTACCTGGAGAGAGATCAGGCAGCCTCAGCCAAGAGGTGGGAAGGAAATACCCCAATCGAGGAAAAGGTGCAGGGACGTACTCCTCGGAGTCAAGGATGGTATAGCTTCACCTCCCACATGCTGGACATGTGGCGAGGAGAGGCTATTCCTTGGAAAAGGATATCATGCTTGGAAGGGCAGAAGGTCAGCAAAAGAGAGGAAGACCCCCCCCCAACAAGATGGATTGATCCTGTGGCATTGGCTCAAGTGTGTCAGATGGTGAGGAGGCACAGGATAGGACAGGGTTCAGATCTGTTGTTCGTAGGGTGGTACTCGACAGCACCTAACAACTCAAACCTGGTTGGCCCATGGTGGTCACCCTAGACCCAGTGCACTTGCTGTCCAGAATGTCACATTCATATGCTGCGTATCTTTCCCTTTCAGAGACTTGAAACCTGAAAACATCCTGTTGGACGATTACGGTAAGTCAGGAGGCCCTCGGGAGGGGCTTTTCCTACTCTGTAAATGAGGCAGTTATTACAGCTCTTTTTCTGCTGTATAACTGAGGCCGTCTTTGCAACCCATGGAGCACAAGGGCCCCTGAGGCTCTCATGGGACAGGAAGCGCAAGAGGCTGTCTTAGCTGGCACTGACCTGGGTCATGGGAAAGGTGGGCAGGTAGAGGGAGAAGGTCGCATTCCCCTTCCTCAGTCCTAGACAGTGGGCCTGAGTGGCAGGACAGTGTGTTTCAGCTTCAGAAGGAGTCCATAATGTCAGAAATAATAGGCAAGTCACTTAGGTTTGAAGCCTCTTCTCTGCATCTCATCTTTCATGTTTGAGAGGTGGAGTCATGGGCCTTGCCCTGCCGCCTCCAGAGGATGGAGAATGGTGCTGAAACTCCCCGTAAAATAGTTTGCAATTTCTTTTTCCAGCTGTGGCCACTTACCCAAGTGTTAGGCATTGGTGTGTGTTTGTGGTCATTGTCTACCATAGAGGATGGGGGCCACAACCCCTCACCACCCTTTAGCCTTCACCCCTGGACAATAGTTTGCACATATTCCATCTCGCTAGATCTTCATGCTCCCAGAGGCAGAGCTGCATTCACTGTGCCCATTTTACAGATGGCAAAGCTGAGCCTCAGAGAAAAGCCAGTCTACCAGGATTGCCAGCAATATCAGTGGCCAGATCTCCTATCCACCCACATCTCAGATGCCAGGCAGCCCCAGGTGGAGGGAAGGGGAGGAGGCAGGCAGATTATTGGTGAGCTGAGAAAGGTTGTGTAGAATGCTCCCATGTGGGGAAGGCCCAGGTAAACCCCAGAGCTACAGGAAACCTGTTCCCCACGGGTCCAGAACAGTCCGGCATGGCCGTCTCATATTTTGTCCTGCCTTTCTCTTCCCCCCTGCCACCTTTGTCAGGGACGTTCAGGTCAGGAATTACTTCCAGCCCAGCATGAGCTGGTGGACCTGGGCCTTGCTGAGGGCCAGGCTGGTGGGGACCCTGGTGCCCACAGGCAGGGAGCGAAAGGGTCAGAGGTGGTGTGACCCCCAGCTCAGCATGGTACCTGCTCAGCTCTCTGGGTCAGTTCTGGACTGAGAACTCTAGCTCCACCCCTCGAGGCCCCAGCAGACCTGGCCCAGACCTTTGCCTTCTTGCTTCCAAAGGGAAGAACCCTCCCCTCGAACCAGCAGGCTTCCCAAATGGCTTTATCATGTTTTCCCCTGAAGCAGATTGTTGCAAAATGTCAGGAGGATCTCACATTCTTCCCATGAAGCAATCCCAGAGTGAGGCCAAGATTTAAACTCTGTGACCTCAGCCTTCCAGGAAGCCCATTAGGGCGCTTTACGAGGCGGGCTGGCCAGTCATCCCCCTGGGCCTTCATGCTTCACTCTTAAAAAGTCGTGACTTGCCCACGCCCTCTGACACCTGGCCCCTGAAGGACTCAAGGTCACCCTGAGAAGGCACAGAGCAGCCAGTGAAATGCCCCAGGTTCAGAGAGGCCAAGTGCCCGGCCCACGGTCACACAGCAGGTCTGTGCCAAAGCAGGCCGAGCACCCACTAACACTGCTCTCCCCTCAGGCCACATCCGGATCTCCGACCTGGGTCTGGCCGTGAAGGTGCCCGAGGGAGACCTGATCCGTGGCCGGGTGGGCACCGTTGGCTACATGGGTGAGTGCCAGGTGGGGGTCCCCATCTTTGCACTCTGATGATCAGAATGAGAGTGGTGGTCTCACACTGGCCAGCTTGATGGGAGCCTGGAGCAAAGGCCTAGAGACCCAGGATATGACTGGACAGAGCTCTTTGCAGCCCTCAGGCCCCCACCAGCCTGTGTTTCAAAGCCAGGGCTCCCGCCATGGTCAGGGGCTCCATCTGGACACAGCAGTGTTCAGAGAGACCATGTGGAAGCAGAGGTCCACTGGGCTGGTGGGCAGCCTCTTGGGGATGGGCTCGGAGGGGGAGCGGTATGCTTGCTGCTGGCTCTGTCACTGAATGTGACACTATGGAGGGATCTAGCTTGGGCTCCCGCCCCACCCTGCTTGAGACTGTCATCCCGGGTCTGCATCCCAGGAAGAGTGCCCAGTCGCAGGGAGGAGCCCCCTTGCCCAGGGTCCGTCCTGTCTCCAGCGTGCTAACCATTCTGCTACCTTCCCCTGTCCAGCGCCCGAGGTCCTGAACAACCAGAGGTACGGCCTGAGCCCTGACTACTGGGGGCTGGGCTGCCTCATCTACGAAATGATTGAGGGCCAGTCACCCTTCCGCGGCCGCAAAGAGAAGGTGAAGCGGGAGGAGGTTGACCGCCGGGTCCTGGAGACCGAGGAGGCCTATTCCCACAAGTTCTCCGAGGAGGCGCGGTCCATCTGCAAGATGGTGAGTCCAGGCTGAGTGTCCACACCAAGCCAGAGGGGTGAACGTGTGCCGTGTGTGGGCAGAGCGGTCATCACGGCCTTCTGGGAGCCAGCCCGGTTGATGGCTGAGAAGCCAGGAGGCCATGACACAAGGGGAGGAGGTGAACAGTGACAGGCCTTCCCTGTCCAGCAAGTTCAGTTGAGGGAGTCTCTTGATCAGGTTTGATCCATGCTGATCCTGAAGGGCCTTGAGACAAAACCCTGCCCTTGACCATGGACCTCTGGGGTCCCAGGGTCCCAAGCTGTGGCTTGCGGTCAGGGGTCAGGGGCTGCTGGTGTGCATGTGACATTGTCACAGGCTTCGAACATCTCATAACCAAGCCTTCCGTCTGCTGTTCTAGATGGCAGCATCGGTGCATAGTGAGGTGTGACCCGGCCATGGGCAGGGCAGACAGGCCGATCTGGGGCTTGGGAAGCCAGATAGAGGGGATGGCAGAAGCCATGAGAGTGGGGATCCCCAAGTCCCCACCCAACCACAGCATCATGCTCCCGGGTGCCCCAAGCCAGGACCAGCCCAGCCTGTAGACTCTGTCTTTAGGAAGGCAAGCAGCGGCTTTTTGGGGAGAGGGCTGCTCCCCATTCCTGCCGGATCTCAGGCCTCCTCACACCACCTCTCACCTGGTGCCAACCACAGTGGGGCTGACACCCCCTTGGCAGGCTGTTGCCTTCCACCAAGGCCACATGCAGACAGGAAACACAGGCTTTTCTCCCACTGGCTGGCTGGAGCTGGGGCAGCAGAGGGAGGGGTCACCTGGGAAAGGGGCCCTGCTCCCACCTGTGTGAACCACAGAGGTCATGGGCTGGGTCCTTCATGTGCATGAGAAACGGGCTGGGCTTTCGGAAAAGCGGCCCCTGGAGGTGATTTCAGGAGCTAAGCTGCTTCCAGAGAAGCCAAGGGGCTTTGCTGGGGCCGAGGGTCCCTGCCTGCAGCCCTTCACCCTGTGGTCCCCACTTCTCCCTCCCAGTCTGTCTCATGTCACAGCTATGAGGGGACCCTTCCCAACAGAAAAGGAAGTGTGACTGTGTTACAGCCTGTAAGACCCTGAAGAAAGGGTACAGACACACCCCAAACCACATGCCCATGGCCAGAAACCCAGTGACCACAGGCCAAGCTTGGTGGGAACAGGCGGAACCAGGCAGCAAAGGTCAGCTGAAGGTGACTGTGGGGCTTGAGGACTTGTGAAATCCAGGGGGCCCAGCACACACTTGGTTATGTCGCTTTGTGGGAAGAGCACCACCAGATGACTTCAGGTCAAGGTCAAGAGTGCAGAGTAGCTGGTCTTGAGAGACCCCAATGGGACAGGGAACCTGCTGAGAGGACACCCCCCAGCAGCCCGCCCCTTCTCCGGCTGTGTCCCCCCCCCAGTGGCTCCTGCTCCCTCCAGGACCAGGCGCTGCTGGCCCTCTGCTGGCCCCTGGTGGCCACGTAGGGAAGTCAGCGGCTGGGCCTTCTCTAGGCCCTCTTCTCTGGTCCAGGCCCTTCTTCTCCGGCTCTAGCTCAGGACAGATGTCTTCTGTTAAGAGATCTCCAAGGCCACAAGCCGATTCCCCAACTCTAGGCTGATTTGAAGGAGTCCTGACGCAGTGGTTAAAGCAGCTTGATGGTTCAAGCCAACCAGCTCCTGAGGGCAGAGGTTGGCGTCTGCTTCCATGACGTCTACAGCCTGGGAGGAAGCCCAGCCGGGCAGTTCTGCCCAGTCCTGTAAGGTGCTGTGAGTCGCAGTTGAGTTTGGCAGCAGGTTTGGTCTTTTGGGTTTTGCTTGCTGTTTAAGAAGGCTTAGGAAGACCACTCCCCACACAGGGAAGTCGGTCAGCTCCGCCTGGCCCCTTCTTCCACCTTGACAGCCACGCGGCCTCCTCTCCCTGACCGGAGCTGAGAAATCTGTACACTTGACTATCCTGACCCCTGGGTCCAGTCCCCAGCCCAGACGCCAAGCCCTACCTTCCTGGATCCCTCTGCTGCTGGGTCCCACCCCTGCAGAGTCCCATCTCAGTGCCTCTCCTCCCCCCTTCGGCCCTGGTCTGAGTGCTGCCTCCTCCAGGAAGCCAGCAGCCCTACCCCTCCACTCATAGCTCACACCATCCCTCTGCCTGCTTCTGGTGTGGGTGTCACTTCACTGTGGATATGCTGCCAAGTTTGCAAACAGGCAGCACTCCATGGGTGTTTGTTCAGCCAACACAGAAAAACTGGGAGATTTTATTTAAAGACCTTGCATCCTGTCTTCTCCTGGAACACTGGAGCCAGGGCCCTGAGGACCCTCCTGCCTGGGGCCGGCCAGCTCCTAGCTCCCAGCTCCCTGCCCTGGGGTGTCACCTGTTACAGTGGTAACCCCATTTGCTTTAGTTCTGCCTAGATGGCTGCGGGCTGAAAGGTGCCTTCACGAGTGACCAGACTCACTTCTGAGCCGTTTCCGGAGATGTGATCTGATGTCTGCCCGGGGAGACGAGGTGGTGCAGTGGTTAAACACTTAGCTGCCAAACCGAAGGCTGGAGACACAGCCCCACCAGCTGCAGCCCTCGCAGTTCTAGTCTGATAGCCCTCGCACCCCAGTTCTAGTCTGACAGCCCTCGCACCCCAGTTCTAGTCTGACAGCCCTCGCAGTTCTAGTCTGATAGCCCACACTTGGTAGACAAGCAGCTGTCTGTGACTGTGGTGCTCAGGGGGTGGGGGAAGAGGCACATGACCCTCAGACCTGGGGTACAGCGGCAGCCAAGCCCTGTGGCTACTGGCCTGTCCTTCCTCCTGTCAGTGTCTGCCTGCCCACTCCTCTGCTTTCATTTCCCCATTGTCCATCTCTGTTTCCTCCCATGAGGACACCCTTCTGCCTTGACCGTCCCACAGCCGCCTCCTGACCTGGCCCCAGGGACCTCCGCATCTCCTCCCTGTCCCCTCCACACTGACAGGCACTCCACAACTGTTTTGGGGGGCAGACTCAAAGATGTGGTGCCCCCAGAACATGCACCGCACGCCCTGCTCTTGCTGTTCTCACGATTGCCATTCTTCTTGGCCCCCAACACCTGCCCGGTGAGGCTGGAGCCAGCTTGCATTCCTCTGACCCTATTCTGCCACGTCTGGGCTGCCCTCATGGGACAGCGGCCCCTGAATGGATGCACCCACAGCCCTGACAGCTCCGTGGGGGGCAGCCTCTGGTTTGCACCACGTGACTGTTGTTTGCTGCTCATGCTTCAGCTCTGACTCATATCAACCCTCTGTGGCTGAGTGGGCCTGCCCAGCCTAGTCGCCTAGTGGAGAGGGAGCTGCACTGCCAACCCAAAGGTAGGCAGTTCAAATCTACCAGATACAGTTTGAGTTTAAAAGATAGCCAGTCTCTTCCCATGCAGTTTACAGCCTCTGAGAACCTGCTGGAGCATCAGCAGTGAGTCTGTTCTGACGTGAGGGTCATGAGTGAGTGCGTGCTCCATGACTGGAGTGTATTGCCAGGGCTGGCTTACGTGGAGCTGCTGTGTGGGTTCGAACCACCAGCCTTTTGGTTCGCAACCAAGCACTTAGCCAGTGTGCTACCAGAGCTTCTCCACCAATAAGTACTTTTAAAAGCAACTACTCCCGTCCAGTGAGTTCCAACACACACCAGCCCTACCAGACAGGAGAACTGTCTGTGTGATGCTGGGGCTGGGAATCTGCTGGAGAAGACCACCACTCCCTTCTCCTGAGTACCTGCTGATGCTGGGCTTGAACCGCTGACCTTTAAGTCAGCAGCTTGGTGCCACCAGGGCTCTCCATGTACTTGTTAGCTGAGTAATGAGTGGGAATGACCCTCTGTTGCATCTCCATCCACAAACCTGGATGGATGCCCACCGAGCTGGGCCAGCGTCCATTCATGAGAGAAACAGATGCTCCCTGGGAGATCTAGGTGGCTGTCCATGCTGTGAACAGGTGACACGGGTACACAGGACATCCTGGAAATGTGGCCGTAGCAGGGCTGGCACCCAAGGGTGGCACATGCATTGTTTCATACAGAAGAAGGACAGCTGGGTGGACTCAGGGGCAGAGACCTGTGAGCAGAAGGTGACCCCAATCATGCCATGTTCCTCTGGGCCTCGAACCCTCTTGCAGGGTTGACTGCAGGCCTCACACCTTTTCTCTCACACAGCTGCTCACCAAAGATGCCAAGCAGAGACTGGGCTGCCAGGAAGAGGGGGCTGCCGAGGTAAAGAGACACCCCTTCTTCAGAAACATGAACTTCAAGCGCTTAGAAGCCGGAATGCTGGACCCTCCCTTCGTTCCCGACGTGAGTAGCCCCCCTCCTGCCCCATCGTGACCAGGAGCCGGCGTGAGGGTGTACAGTCACGCAGGGCTCAACCAGCAGACCTTCTTCAGGACTGTCCCTCTGTCCATCAGCTAACTCGAGGCTGGATGCGCTAGGCTCTGGGCCCGGTGCTGTGGGCGGGGTGAGGCCCAGGACGCGGTCCCAGCTCCACTATCAGGGTCACTCTTTCCCCAGAGCTGAGCTCCCCAGGTTAGCATGTGGGGCAGGAATCCAGTTAAGTCCCACTTGCTACTGGCAGTCCCCTCAGTGTCCCTGGAGTACAGGCTTGAAGGGGCCACACAGGGCCAGCAGGACAGACTCAGCACATGGTATTGGTCTCAAGTGTCCTTGTAAGGGGGGCAGGGGGGTGCTGTCCATGAGGAGCTGGACTGTGTGAACTCAAGTCATCGGTTCTGTGCCCCTCTTCCTTCAAGCTCTCACAAACTTGGTCCAGGCCAGGAGGGCTGTGGAGGCCAGGACAGCACAAGCGTCTGGCACGGCCTGGCTCGGAGAATTGATGCTCACTCTCCTGCTCTGCCACTGGGCCACTTGAAATCAACCGTGTCAGCCGTCACGGAAATGTTTACACCTCAGGGATTGGCAAAGACCATACCTTAGAGTCTCTCATTCCCTCCCTCAGATCTGACCATAAACGAGTTGGTCCTTGGGGCTCTGGGGACCCCCATAGGTGAGGGTCCCTGGTCCCACAGGTGAGAACAGAAAGTGTGAAGAGACACAGGCCCTGCTGGGTCCACTGTCCTGCACTTTCACGCCTGCCCCTCTCTGACCAGCACCAGCGTCATTGCTGCAGGGGTGACCTGGGACTGCTTTCTGGGGGAGGAAGGGCCTCTGTGAACATAAGCACTCTTTGAATGCAGCAGACTGAACCCCTCGGTAAACTTGACAGAGGCGGCCTGTTGGCGCCATCTGGGAAACATTCAGAAATGGGGACCCAGGGCCCAGCCTGGGCTGCCGTGACTGACCAGGTTCTAGAACGCACCTGAAGCTCGTGTGTAGCAGGCTGGTGAATCAGGGCACATCACCAGCAGGCGTGTTTTCATCTTCACGCCAAGGTCTGTGGGAAAGCCGGTCTGCACCCCAGGAACTGCAGTGCCGCCTCCTGAGGTGGTTCCACTGTGCTGGGTGTAACTGGGTCAAAGCCTGGTCCACTTCCCTCTGTGAGCCCCGGCAGAGAGCCAGCAGCCCCGAGTGGACAGGCGAGACGCAGGCTACTCGCCACCATGATAGCGGTAGCCATTGCTAAAGGGTGGGTGCTGTTGTCACCCCCATTTCTCAGGTGGGGAAACTGAGGCCCAGAGCAACTGTGTGACTCTCCCCTAATTCCTAAACCTCACTGGAGCTGGAATTCAGCCCAGCTCTGTGGCTGCTGAGACTGGCGCTAACCTCTACCCCTCACAACCCTGTAACACTGAAGAGAGGGGCCGGGAGGGCCTCTTTCTAGAGGACCCCAGGTGTCCACAAGGCAGAGGCCCCCACTTACCCTTGGCCTTGAGGTACTGGGCACAGATACTCTCTGTGGAGGAGTGGACCAGGGGCCTCAGTGATGACCAGTCCACAGAAGTGACTGGAAACATTGCCTGATTGGATGGGCTTTGCTGTCATTAGATGCCGTCCAGTCAGCTTTGACTCATGTTGACGCTGGTGACAGAACAGTCCATGGGGTTTCCTGGGAGCAGACAGCACCAGCTCTCTCCCCTCAAGATGCTGGGTGGATTCAAACCACCAGCCTTTCCGTTAGCAGGAGTGCCTCACTCTGTGCCACTCTGGGTGGGGTTCCCCAGGAGTGTGAGCTTTGAAGGGGTGTTTTCTGCAGCCTGTTGTGATGATGGGGTGACCTGTGGATCATGGAAAGGAGTGATAACAAGACAGGGAGTGTGGACACCGTGAGTTCCTGTTGCATCTTGGCTGGGGGTGCCCTTAGTGGTCTGAGAGGTCAGCTCAGGTTTCAGCACGGGTAGCTCCCGGCCCACATCTCCTCTGTCCCCATCAGAGCTGTGCGTCAGCCCTGCAGGAGCCTGGCCTGGGCACTCTGTGACTGAGCCCTCTGCCTCTGTCCTGGCCACAGCCCCGAGCCGTGTATTGTAAGGACGTGCTGGACATTGAGCAGTTCTCCACCGTCAAGGGCGTCAACCTGGACCACACAGACGACGACTTCTACTCCAAGTTCTCCACAGGCTCCGTGTCCATCCCATGGCAAAATGAGGTGGGCCAGCACCGGCGCCAGCACCGCAGGACGGGGCATTGCTCTGCAGGGGCAGCGCTGGAAGGGCGGGCTGTTGTGCTGCAGACAGATAGGTGGATTGTGGCTCAGGTGGGGTGGGGGTCAGGTAGGATGGGGGGGTCAAGTGGTGAGATCAGGTGAGGTGGATCAGGTGGGGTGGGGTCCAGGTGGGGTGGGGTCCAGGTGGGGTGGGTGTCAGGTGAGGTGGATCAGGTGAGTGTGGACTGAGGGAGTCAGGGGTCAGGAAGATGAGCGTAGCCCGGGATGGTTGTATTCCCATCAAGGGGAAGAAGGTGGATGAGGTGGAGGCCCCACGACAGCATGGTTGGGGTAGTGGAGGGAGGGCGATGACGTCAAGACAAGGTCAGGTGGGGTGTCAGCCACACAGAGCGGCTCTGCCTCTGTCTGCAGATGATTGAGACCGAGTGCTTCAAGGAGCTGAACGTGTTTGGACCCAACGGTACGCTCTCGCCCGACTTGAACAGAAGCCACCCACCCGAGCCGCCCAAGAAGGGGCTGCTCCAGAGAATCTTCAAGCGGCAGGTGAGCCTGTTCCCTCAAAAACACTGGATCCCAGCACCTTGGGGGTTCCCTTGCCCCCTGGATCCTTACGTTCCTCCTCCTCCCACCAGACCTGCCCTTGTGTCTCATCCCCAGCAAAATGCCTCAGAGGAGGTGGGCCCACAGCCCCTGCTCCAGGAAGAGGTGGGCTCCAGAGCTCTGGTCCTCAGATCCCAACCCCAGCCCCCTCTCTTCAACCACAGGCCTGGATGGTGGCCACGGATTTCTGATACCTCTCCATAGTTTCCAATGGCTGTAATCTTTCCAAAGCAGATCACCAGCCAGGCCTGTCTTCTGAGCTACCTCTGGGTGGATTTGAACCACCAGTCTTTCTGTTAGGAGCCAAAGGTTTGAACATTTGTACCACCCACCATAGGCTATACAGGCATGGGACCCAAGAGAGTCAGTGACTTTATGAAGGTTACACTCATCTCAGACATGGATCTGGGATTCAACCCAGGCAACAGCTAGACCCACACAGATGTGACAGTAGGGGGCACTTCCTCCCTGATTGGGGGCTGCCAACTCCATGGCCACCATCCTCTTGCAGATAGAGCCCTCAGCTGCCAGGGTGGCCTCTGGGCCTGAGTCTTCAGGAGGCAAGAGGACAAGCTGGCAGGGCAGACCTGCCCTGACGGACCTGTCCCTAAGCCCTCCCGATGTGTCAGCTTCACACCTTGGCTCCCAAGTACTGACTCGCACCCTTTCTCCCCAGCATCCGCACAACTCCAAGAGTGCACCTAATTCCAAGACCAGTTTTAACCACCACATCAATTCCAACCACGTCAGTTCAAACTCCACCGGAAGCAGCTAGTTTCACCTCTGGCTTTACCCTTCACAGTGGAACCAGCCAAAACCCTTCCAGTCGGATGTGGAACTGGGGACACGGAACTGGTGGCCAGTGGCACCTCTGCTCTGGCCAGGCAGTTAGGGAGCCCCTCCCAGAACCAAGGACGGGGGCAGCTGCCCCTCAAAGGAGAGCCTCGAGGTTTCTCAAATTCCCACTCAGGTCTGTTTTCAGAGGTGGCCTGGGGCCGGCGTGGTGAGGGTCTGTCCCTGTTAGCCATCGCAATAGGAATCCAATTGGCTATGACAACTTGCACGTCTTTTAATAGCGTCCTAACTAGAACTGAATTTTGTCTTTATTATTTTTAAAGAAAAAGTTTTGTAAATTTCTCTATTGTCTCAGTTTACATTTTGTATATTTGTATTTAAATGAAAGTCAGACTTTGAGGGTGTATATTTTCTGTGCAGCCACTGTTAAGCCATGTGTTTTAAGACATTTTAGGAGGGGGGATTTACAAAAAAAAAAAAGAAAGAAAAACAAACAAAATCCTGCGTCTCAGCTTCCCGAGCCTTGGCTGAGAAGACATTTTCATTAAATGTAGAAGATGGTCCGCACTTCACCTTGAAGGGTTGCTTGCGTTTCCCCACTCTCCGCTCTGTAGTCTTTTCCTCATGGGGAGGCCACCATTCTGCTGGTTGGTAGCATCCCAGTCAGATGCTCGGAGACACCCTGGACCTTCCCCCAGGTCGACCCGCTGCCAGGCCCATGGGCGTCCGGCTCCCGCTCAGAGAGGGGCCTTTTCTCCTGAGTGACCTTCACGCCTGTAGGACTTCTGGAAGGTGGTCACCAGGCAGAGCCAGGGACCTTCAGCCTGTGGCCTGGGCCTTCCTCCTTCTGAGCAGGTCCCAACTTCCAAAGCCAGGAAGTCTTCAAGAGGCTTGCGTTTCGGGGCTTTTGTTTTATGCTCTTTTTAAGGGAGGCACAGCTACTCACGGAAACCCAGTGTCCCAACCTCGACAGCCCCTGAAGAGTCCACAGGACCGCTCAGAGGGGCCACCTTTGATGCCAATGATTCTTCTCACAGCCAGCAGAGCCACAGAGCCCCCCGGACGAGCTGGCTGACGGGGCATCGATGGGGCTGGCTCTCTGGGTAAAAGGGATGCCCAAGAAGAGGCATGGTCACCACCAAAGAAGTTCAAGACAGGCTCACTGTCCTTTCCTGGGACGGCTCTACTGAGGCATCTGAGAATTTCAGGCCTGAGTAACCCCAGGGTGGATGTGTCAGGCCAGGGCCTCAGAAGACACCTCTGAGCATGGCTGTCCCACACCAGGTACCTCCTGGCCTTTTCCTCATGCCCCCACGAGGTGGCAGCAGAGAGTAAAACTGCCCCGACCTCCCATTCGGGACGGGGTGAGGGCTGACCCTGCTCCTCTGCCCACCCCCAGAGTCCACCTCAGCTGCCTCAGACATGGTCTCCCCCAACAGTTACCAGAGCGTCTCACTGTGTGGGCCCCCCACTCCCTGCATCTGTACTTCCTGTTGGAATGCAGATTCCAGGGCTCCACCCTTCGCCTACTGAATGGGCATCTTGGGACGTGAAGCCCAGGAATCTGCAAATTAAAAGCTCACTGCCCCCCCCCACCCGATGCACTCCAGAGCGTGGGAACCACTGCCTCTCACCACAGCAAGGCCTCCTCCGTGTTCACCCTAAACACGCATCTTAGGGTAGCCCACATCTCCGGGTGAGCCAGGCAGCTGTGGGGCCCAAACTTACAGACAGCAGGGAGCGAATCGGTCTCCTAGCCCAGGTTCTGAAACCTGCCTGTGGCCCTCAAGGATGTGCTGCCAAAAAGGGATCAGAGCAGAGGGGTGGATAATTTGAGGGTAATTTTCCAAACAGCTGGGAGAGGAACTGTAGGTGGCCTCTTCCTGTCCCTTTAATCCACAGTGTTATTTTCTTTTAAGAACAGCCCTTGCTCTCAGGAGCTGCTTCCTGGGCTGAACACGAGATAAATCCTAACAGCCATATGCCACTTTGCCAAGGATGTGGCCGCATCTCTGGGCGGTGTCCGAAGGCCCCTGAGCTCTTGCTGACCCTCCTTTCATGATGATAAGGACGGTCATTCCTTGGACTGTCAGCAGCCCAAGCCAATACTCTCCTTACCCAGAAGGCTCATCGTTATCCCTCTTCACAGCCACTCAGCCCTTACGAAGTGGTTTGCTGTTGAAGGCAATCTCCTTTGATGCCTCCCAGCCTGTGCACTGTCCATTTTCAACATCAGGCCCCCAAGGAAGGAGGAGGAAAACCAAAGTCTAGCCACTGCCCGTGAGTCACCGGCCTCCAGGGACATCAAGCACAGCTCTCCGCACTGACTCGTATAAGAACTTGAGTCTTCCTTTCTGCTAATCGCCTGTCCTCCTGGGAGTGCGCACAGGAGACGGGGTCAGAGTCACTGGGCCTTTTAAATCCTCCTGTTCCTCTTGGCCCATTGCTTTGTAATGTGAGATGGGACCTTCTCTTAGAGAGCAGTGCCTACAAATCAGTCCCTCACCCTTCGGGAGTTCCAGAGTCATCCAGACCAGGTCATCACATTCCAGGTCAAGTCATCACATCCCAGGTCAAGGTCATCATATCCCCGGCCAGGCCCTCACATCCCAGACCTGTCCTCCTCTCTTCCCCAACCTCCTCTCACTCCAACTTTGTTTCTATAGCTGCTTTTTTTAAATGATATTTGTAAATTTAAAAAAAGAAAAACTTTCCCACTTATCTACCTTTCTAAGCTAAGGTATATTTGGATGGTGAGTGAACCTAAATTTTTTGTGTATGAGTTCTTCCTGGAAGGGCCTTTCTTTTTCCGAATGTGTTCTTTCCACTGGCTGTTTGCTGACTCAGTGCCTTTGAGGGGATGTGCAGGGTCTTGTGGAAGTGTGTTTGCTGCTACCATTGGGAGACAAGCTGCTGTCCTTGAGGGGGCCAGGCATGGTCTCCCCTGTGACCACCATAACCTGTGAGTGTTTTATAGGTTCCCTTGGGGGACTCAGAGTCACATTCATATCAGGGAGACCCAACACCATCTTCACAGAGGATGGCATCCTTGCCAGACACATAAACCCATCCTCTGACCATTCTTGGCCGGGAGCCTGGCTCTTGAAAGCATGAAGCTTTGGGGGTTGCTCATTTGCCCGGGAGCCGGGCCTTGCTGTATCACGAGTGGCTGCAGTGAGGTCTGGCTCCTGAAATCCACTGCTCTTAGCAGATGGAACCATCAGCCTTGGAGGGGCAGCAGGGGGTGGGGACCAGGCTGTGGGGAGGAAAGCAGCTGTGGCGTTGGGGATGTGCACGCTTGGCAGGCAGCCCTCGGGCACGATGCGGGCAGTGCCTCCTGGGAACAAGCATATGGGTGCCATCTTTGCTTTCAAGACCCAGCTGGGATGCCTACCCTTGAGCCTAGGCCAGCCCTGCAGCGAAGCCAGGAGCCGCCCCCCGCCCCTTGTTAGAGAGCTCCCGTCTAGCCCACTTCCAGCATTAACACTCTTCTTCCACACCCTTGTTCTTTCTTGAAAGACTAGGCCATTGGCCCTGGTTTTCCAGTGCTTTTTTACAAAAGAACTGACGCCCCAGACCATGTTCCAACTCACTCATAGAGCTTCTTGGGAGTACCATGATCTGTTAGCGTCCCAGACCTTGTCAAAGTAGCTCCACTTTCTGGATAACCGGATGTTTCCCAATCTCCAATAGGAAGCCTCCAGAAGTGAACAGGAATGGGGCCCAGGCAACGGTCAGCTGTCCTCTGGGACTGTGTGTTCGAGCTTGCAGATGAACACTTGTGTCCTTCCCAGGTCACCCTCTCTGGGTTGTTTTCATACACTCTAAAATAGGACCTTCTTGTTATGGAAAGAGAGTCGGTGTCAAATCTGTATGCATTTCAGAGTGACACAGAGGGCTGGCTTCCTTCAGATCACAGCAGCCAGCCAGGACGAAGCCTCGCCCCCAACACTCACCTGGTTCCTTCTGCACTGTTCTAACCACCAGCCTGCTCACCTATGGACACACAGACGTGCTCAGATGTGTGTAGGTCAGAAGCCTTCACAGGTGTGGGAAGTCTTACCTGATCTAACTTCAGATGCTGTTTTAAAGTATTTGAAAAGCTCCCTGGTAGGAAAAGATTTTCCCAAAAGAAGATTCTAGATGTCTTCCCCAAGGCCATCAATAAATCTGTTTGTAATAGATCAAAAGCAAACATTTTCAATTAGAGAAGCTTAGTGGCTGTCGATATTGTTAAAATAATAATCCTAGTCTCCAAAGGTTTCTGTTTTCTTTCAGGGAGATTTTAACACTGATGAATGAAATAGGTCCGTTCTGAAGATACCGGCTTTTGTTCCGCTGCTCTGACTCCATGTATGTTCCGTCTAATATGTCACAGTGCTGCTGTATCTAGATCGAACCACTGTTGTTGTCATGTGTTGTGTTTTTTATTTTAAAGAGAAATAAATTCCTTACTGAAAATGACATTGGCGTTCTTCCCTGCTGCTGAGATCTGCTCCCGCCCCTGCGGCCGTCGCGTTTTCCTGCCATCTTTTCTGTGGTAGATAATCCCACCATCCAATCTGCCCCCCCCCACACACACACACACCACTTCCCCTCTGCCCAACTTCCTCCAGTGGGCAGGGCCTAAGGGTACCTTCTGAACCCTCTCCATGCTGATTGGCTTCTGATCGCTAACTCTCTGGAAAGTTCTAGAAGGGCTCTAGCTTCAGGTGATAATTTGCCTTTACAAAGCTGGCCACACACTAGAACACAGATAGCAAGACAAGGCCGCTGTAGCACCTCAGACCACAGCCTATAAAGCAGGGCCTCCCCAGGCTCTCCCTGGCTTAGTCGTGGAGCGACTTTTGATTTTGATGATCCCAGAACTTTGCTTAGAGGGGCACTGAAGTGATCCCCAGCTAACTCTCACTTCCAGGAAGGTGCCAGGTGGGCATCCCCGGACACTCAGAACTTCATGCCACCATCCCTGTGAAGGATCCTTAGAGGCCCGAGGGTCTCTCTGCCTTCCCTAGGGCCGTGAAGGGGAGGAAACGCTAAGTCTTTGTCCACAGGCCCTGGACAAGTAGTAGGTCAGGGTTCCAGACATCACGCTGCCCACCAGTTCCTCCAGCCCAGTGCTGACCAGACCTGGGCAGATGGATATAGTCCCAGCTCGGCTGCCTTGAGAGGAGGGGCAGGAATGAGTTTCCGTGGACTTTGGAGGGTGAATTCTTGCTTTCTACTTCGTCACTTCACTAGGATTTATGGGCTAATTACCATGCCTCTGGTGCTGTCTTCATAATGAGAAGTGGGAAAGCCCTGTGTGCAGGGGGCTTCCAGCATCACTGGGAGATCAACCAGAGAGCAAGGGCACTTCAAGCAATAACTGAGCCGAGGACATGACTGAACACAAATTCCATTCAGTAGTCCTGGGCCAGACGAGGGTCTGCACTTAGAACAAGGTGCCAGGTGAAGGTGCTTGCCATAGGCCACACTTTGAAGAGGAAGTCCTTAACCTAGTCATAAAGTTAGGAATCAAGGCATTAAAACCCTCTTTAGTGAATCAGACCTAACACCGTTCC